AGGTAATTTAAAGATTTTCAATTAAAACCAAATAACTTAGTTAAGATCTTCGTGTCTACTTATTTGTTCCATGGTAAAAACAATAGAGTTCAGCTTCGTTGGTTGTACGGCCGAGTCAAATGTTTTCTCATCTTCATCTTCACTGTATTATTATCCAGTCAGCTTTTTGCAGATTGGTTTAATCAATCATAGCGTCAAAGGTTTCCAGGAAATCTAAAATTCTAGGCCAAACGTATGTTATATGACTAAACAAAAAGTTTCCATTACTATAGATCAAAATGACAGTTTCTAAGTGTTGTGAAATTAACATAAAATATTATTGTAATAAAACCTAAATAAAACATGAATGTAATATACATGAAAACTGTACAACATCTAACCTTTTTGTGTGGACCTATACTTTAATTTTAATATGGTCTATGATTCACACATTTTCTTGATAACGGACAAGATGTATGGGCAGCCATTAGGGCCAGAATACACAACATATATTCAAACATTCTAGCATTTCTCTTATGTGAACCCTTATAGTAGGATCTTATCTGAAACTCAATCCAATTTCAATCTTCAGTGTTTGTTTTGAACATAAATTAAGTTGCAGGTGAGACTTGACCTGCAAGATGTTTCTTCAGTATTGATTTGTATGCAGATGAGCTAAAATTGTAACCAGGTCTGTGCTGAGTAATAACTAATTATTACTCAGCCATAGTTTGTTATCATCTTGGTCAAAAGGTTATGGGAAGATGCATCTCATGGGTTTAAAGAGCAATGCGGGTTAGCGTTTCTCTGCTTAGGGAATACAGGTACACTACATTGTGTAATACTAGAGCTATTTAGAACTGTACTTTTTCTACACTTGTATGACAATGTATGATGATGATCTGATGATGTATGGATGATGATGACAATGAAAATTTAATGAACATCTTTGTTTTGAAAGAGTAAATAAGCCTATTTTACAAGATATTAAGTACCAAATGCATGGTCCAAAAGAGTTAGGCCTAATCCTTGTTTACTCACTTGTGTGGATTATTGGGATGTTGGGGATTTCACTTTTGAATAAAAATTTACTCTTTATGGGGAATGGCTCACTCCTCATACGGGAGGGTTTGAATTACTGCAAGGAAGGAGCAACATCCACTCCATTTAAGAAGTTGTTCAGTCCTTTGTGTTATGAGGAGTGTGACAAATCGTTCCGTCTTATATTGGAGAGTGGCGATCTTGGACATCAGTCCCTAGAGTGCGAGTTATCTCCTAGATGGGGAATATCAATTGTTACATACCTTTAAATATAATGATCAAAATTGACTTTTGACACAGTGAACAAAGATAAATCTTTATTATGTGTATCAGTATCCAAAAACATACAGTAGATATTAAAGAGCAATCAAATTTATATTATATCCATATATGGCATGGTGTTTAACTAACCAACTTAAACTATGTTAACCTCATGCATGACAAAATTAAATTATGATTAAAAGTTTTATAAAGGCCAACTCAGACAGCGTCGGCCGACGCAGCCCGACCCGATTTATCGTCGGGGACAGTCTTAAGCCGTCGTGAGAAATATTAAACACGTTTAATATTCTACTACGCGACTGCCCCCGACGCA